AAAAAATTTTTGTCATAACCGAAACACTCATCGAGAGATTCGAACTCGTTGTTTCATCAGATGATATTCGACATATGTTAATTCAATGGTGTTCACAGGAAAAGTCCATGACTCACAGAAAACATGTTTACACGCAACTGTATAATCAACAATGTTGACATTCGCGATAATTATTTCGTCGCCACACCTAATAGATAATGACGCAAATTTAGCAAAACACTTTTCAAAGTTGTTGTTTGTTTATGCCAAGATATATACTTCTGCGAAGTATCTCGAGTAACAAAACAAATATTATTGTGCATGTAAATGTTAAACATTGAGTATGTAAATATGTTAAACTTTTCTCGTAATTTGTTTTTTATTTGTCTGATTTTACTTAGTATCACGAACGATTATATTCATTGCGATGAGTTCGGAGTAACAATATGCAAAACATGTAGCATGTGAAAAAAACGTCAAAATAACACGTAGATATACTGTGACATAATCAGACAAGATAAAAGAAAAACATTCTAAAAAATACGAACTTTCTTGTGAATGCCTCTATTGCATAATATTCTTCTTGCTTGCGTGTGCGGTATGACAGAGTTTCGAAGACATTTCTATAGGTTTGTATTTCCTGCTCTTATTTCGACGCGCACTGTATCAGCGAAGCTCAAGGCTGGCAAGAGAGAGATGCGCCAAACTTTATACTTGAAAAGTCTGGCTTACTTAAGAAGATGTATTCGGCACAAATAAATTTCAAAGTGAAAAAATTGTACTAACATACAAACTCGGAAAAAAATAATTTATACTACACGCGTAACGTCTAACAATTTACAAATATTTATCGACTTTTTATTTATATAAATATTTATAATGTAGACGTTCTCTCTCACTCTTCAAAAAACATTTTTACGAACTCCAAAGTTTATTCATCGAGAAGTTAAAAAATATTTCACACGAAACGGATTATAGGACTGATATTGCGTCTAGAAATTTTCGCGTTATCGATTATCTGGCTTTACTGCAACGAAAACAAAGTTTTCTTATTTTTTGCGCGAAATCGATCGACTCGAACATTTTCATCGCGCGATGAAAATAGTCGCAACCTTGCAATTGTGCATTCATTGCCAGGTCCATGGTCAAACGAATTCACATGGACGAACGCCAGCCGACGGATTGTCTCTTCCGCGGTTCTTATATGTTCCATTTTTGAATCGTTAGTCATCGATGTCGGACACGCGTATTCATTTAAATCTGAAAAACAACCGGTCACAAGATCCGATATATTTTCTTACGCGGAATACGTAGATGCACGCAATTACTTGATCAACGAAAAACAAGTTATGTCCTATCTAGTAACCTAGATTACGTAGATATCGGAAAAAGAGCAAGAAGTGTTGTATATCTTAATACGCGTATAATATTAAGAGCACGGCGTTTCAGATAGTATTAATCAAATGAGAAATTCTGTGGAAATGATGTCGTGGTAGAAAATCTACCTGTTCATTTGTTTGAGAAATTAAAACAATTGCAGTTGAATACTGACGCGGAACAATGAACGAAAGTGTATGTAAGCGATTAATATTACCTTGTTGATTGTTTTGCAAGCTTTTTTATATCAATGATCTTAGACAGTTACATTGCAATTGTCTGGATTTTCTCGCAAAGCACAATTGCAAAGATAACTTAATCGTTATTACGTGACGTTTATTATACAGCCAATATAAGTGTTTTTCGAAAATATCATTAAGAACTGACACTTCTAGCGTCACTTGATTGGATTACTTTCGTTACGTGTAGTACAACTCTCTCACTGTTCGTTTTTTATCATTGTGCACTCGCAGTGAATGCACTCGCTGTTATGCAAAACGCATGTAAACGTGCGTTGAATAACGTTACGCACATTTTCGTTAAAAAAGCAGAAAAATCGGTGAGAAAAATTTTGCTGAGAAAAAAAAATTGCACGTGTCTATCAGACAACATGTGCGACCGTGGAAAATGAACTCGTCGAAAAACTCGTTCGGTTAATCGAGTTTGTAATTTGCTCGCGTGTGCAATAGCGCACTGGGAGTGATGATTAATTATGAGAAAAAAAAATACCGATGACACAGTCAATCGTCGGTGTGTATTTGCAGAATGATCGTACGGGACAACGGTCGAACGAATTAATTTATACCGCATTATAGATATTTTGCAATCAAGATGATATTTCGTGTAACGTACGATGAGTCATGATTTTCTTGTTACAGATAATACAATCAGCATTTTTTATTTTTGTGAAGATTAGTTAGCAGAACGATAGACAATGAAATCTGTCTGTGATCTGTTATGTAGAAATAATAATTTTCAAAGTATTTGCAAATTTGCTTCAACAAGACGAAGCGCTAATTTAATGTCAATTGTCATGAGATTATTTTTTGCGATGTCTCATTTTATGTTGACACAAAAGATATGAACTTTGAACAGACTCTGACGGGTTTTTTGAAGATAAAAAAAGATATCTCTTAATTCGTAAATAACAAATGTCCAAACAATGATAACGTTCATATTATTCTCTTTTAAAAAAGGTTTTTATATAAACAAAACTGTTCTTCTCATTCTATGTAAAAATTTATAAAAACATTTATATAGAAGTATTTATATTTCATTTTTTTACGAGTATTATAAAACTATTTTATAGATTAATTTCATCTTTAGTGTAACATTGTTGTTGTTGCATTAACTAACATTTATGATCAAGTGGCAACTTTGAGAGCCGCTCATTCAAACAACTTTTCAACAACAATTTGCCGCGCATACGAGACTTCAAGGTTTTGGCTCGAAGCCTCGGAGCTTCACGAGATGTTTGGCTGTCGGCCTGACGTTTCGCGGTACTGTAATACGTAAGCTTGTGGCAAACAGACAGATTAAATTGCATAATAAAATCCGTCGGAAAACTTCGGTGGGGTCAATGTACCAGAGCATATAAATAAAATTAATCATTTGAGATTGCACCGAAGAGACGACTTAGGATATTTGCTGCTATCGGAAAATTAAAAAGTTCGTACATGTGACTAGTATAATTGTTGATTAAAAAAATTATTTGTCTATCTTTGTTACATTTGACGACACACGACAGATATCTTTGCTTCGGCAGTTGTCCAAGTGTTGAAATCTACATTTCGTTTCATCTCGGAGAATGCTCAAAAATATTTCGTCAAACCTCGACATGCTTTTAACGTCTATCTGCCATCGTAGAATACATTTGATTAGAAAAGAGAATTCTAAATATAAATCTCTATCGTAATTTTTTTTTTTTTTGCTTGTACGAACTATTTGCAACTACTGCGTGTTTGTGTGTATGTGCGCGCGCATTTTTTATATATCATTAAATTTCGAAATATTGATATTTGCACGCGCACAATCGATCGACGCGTTAGCGCAATTTGCTATTTATAAACATTAATAGGATTCAGGAGCTTCCATTGACGTGATAGACGTTAACGAGATTTACACCTGTCATGTCAGCGCTATGCGTTAACGAGAACATAAATAGAGAAACATTATATCGGAAAATTCCGAATGTACTGTACAATGTACAACTTCTAGAAAATATTGTATATCTTGACAGCAGTCCAACTGTTTATTATTTAAACAAATTCTAGAAGATGTAATTTGCATATTGTCGACTTTATGTAAACGCAAACCACGTGTTTAAGTGAATAAGTGACAAAACATCTTAAAATAAGAAAACTAAAATAAGAAAACTAAATAATTTTTTGCTTTATAAAACATTTAGCGGGATATCTAAGTTGAGAATCTCTATCAAACTTCTCATAGTCAGTAAAATGAATTTCTGTCGTCACTCGAACGCGAGTTTGCATATTTTCCACAAGAAAGAGAGAGAGAAAGCATAAATAACGCGCGCGCGCGCGCACGATAATAGCTAAACTCTCGGACAATTTCCAATCTCAAACTTTTAACTGCGCAAAACTCGTCTGTAGATAATGAATATAGTTACATAATTTACGTGCAGATAGTCTCAAACTGAGAGAAGGATTTTCGAAATTCCCACAATATGTTTTTTAATCTCAAGATTTTATGTGTATACGTCACACGTGTATTACTTTCACATATCAATACTTTTTTTTTTTTATAAGAAATAAATTTGAGTTTATTTGAGATAAAAAAAAAATCTTTATATCGGAATAATTAATATCTCGAAATTAAAAGTAAGAGATGATATAAGTCTCAGAAATTAAATAAAAAATCAAATTACTCGATTTAGACGCATGCGAGATAGATAACTTTTTGCCGAGATCTTGGAGACAAGATTGCATGAGAAGAAAGTTACACGTGCAATTTTGCAAGCGGTCTATAGAAATGATAAATAATCTGAACGTTACAAGCGCGAGCGCGGATACCGTCGCCACGGTGCGTTTCAACGTACGCCTGCACCTTCTCTTTTACGCAAGTCCCGTGTAAGAAAGCGACCGATCTTTTTTTACGCCGTTATTCGCCAACCGGAGATAAACTAGGTTCTCTTGTCTCGCAATAATGATTATCCCGTCTTTCGCGCACGCTCGACTTCGAATTACGGTTATTGACGCTTTTACGGCCGCTTTTTTTCCGCGTTTGCGTGTTACGCGCGCTCGCATTTCCTGTCTTCTTCAGACAACGCGACAATTCACTAATTGCCAATCAGTTTTACGTTAAATACAGAAGACATATCAATTTTACAAAATTTTCATTATTTTGCAATTTGTTTACGAATGACCGCGTACCGGGATGTTGCGATAAAATGGTCAGAGAATTTCAACAAATATAAAATGATGAACGTAATGCAACATGTAATATGTTCCACGTGTTTCTCAGAAAAACAAGAAAGTCGCTGTCAGTATATGAGAATGTGTGTGTCTGACAGATTAATTAAATAATCGTTACGTGGCACACACAAATCGTGAGTAGGCGTTTTCGACATAAGAAAACGTCTTCCGTCGAAAAATAATAAAATTTCTCTTTAATTTATCACTCACTGTAACCGCAGGACATTTCGGGGAGAACATTCGAGAAGCGACACTGCTTGCGCCGAAGGGACGTTCTCAAGGTTTACAGTTATCCGTTCCAGCGAAAACTCCTCCGCTGTAACAAAAAAAAAAAAAGACAATCATTAAAACCTTGACAATGTTAGCTACATATGCGGTGTAGCTAGTTGTACGCGTACATGTATGTTCGCTCGCGTCGGCGAACAAAGTACAACGTTCATCATCAAGTCTTTACGTGCACGCGAGCCGCCTACGCGCCGCGATACGACGATTCGATATTGGCTAAGACGAATAGAAAATGTTTGAAAACGCTTCATTTTTTCAGAAATGTGTCGTTTCTATTGTATAAATTATTACATGAGCGAAATGCATATATTTTTTGTAAGATATTTTTTGTAAGAGCGAAATTGGATATTGTCGAGATGTTTGGATTCAAAATGTGAACACAGAGCGAGAATACAAGAAGTATTTTCAGTATTTTCCAGAACAAAGAGAAAATAGAAATGGAATAAAGTAGACGGATATTAATGGAACGTAAAGTGCTCTTTGTGTGTGTTCCGTGTAAAAGTAGTCGTTGTATTATCAAGTTAGTTTTTGTCTCTGTGTAAGAAGCGAGAGAAAAAAAGTGCGTTATTTTTAATGAAGTATGATAAGACGAAAAAACGGAAATTATTTGTGCTATCGCGTCCGCTTTGTCTCACCTTTCAACAATTGTTAGTTTTTAACGCGTCGCTTATGTAAAGATCATAACATTAAAAAGAAAGACGTTATGTTTTTAACATGCTCATAACATGCTCATCTTGAACGAGAAGAACCTGTTATGTATGTGAAAAGACGTCTCACACACCTTGATGTACAAGGTAGATTCTTAAACATTCTTACAACTCTTGCGTAACTCGAAGGCATTCGAAGTTAAAAATTCGGAATTTTAAGCAACTCGCGCACTCGTTAAAGTTGTACATTTCACCTGCGAAATGAGATTCGCGATAAAAAAAAAACGTATTTCAACCTTTGTCGCAACTCCTTTAGCTAACGATAATAATAACGTAATATGGTCGCTGTTGCACAACTGCTGTTTGTTTCGAACGATCGTAAAACAATCAAACTTGTCTCGATCCTGGGTTTTTTTCAGGACGATTTCTCTGAATCTTTTCAAGATTCAGAGAGATCTAACCTGCAAACAGTTTAGAAAAAATATACATTTCGCCGTTGCGTAACACATGTGTTTTTCCGTTTGTTTGTCGCGTCTATTGGTAAACAAAGATGTTTCATAGACGATTCAAAATAAATTTATAATTCTTACCCACCAGTGATCGTTAATGGCGGAACTCGTCCGGTGATCTCTCATATTCGATTTCCGCAATGTGGGACTTTGATCGTTCGTGCCTTTATTGGATGGTCGAGACGCATCGCGTTATTGATCTTTAACCGTCTAGTCGAAACTTCCATCGAATACTTTGCGCAGAAGATGATGACTAACGAGATTGGCACGGTACGGTAAAACGACATCGCGTCGTTCGATCGATCCAATCTGACAAAACGAACTGACGTTAATGATTCGTCCGTTTGATTAATCGAATGTGAACTTAGCTGATGTCTCTAATCCCTAAGTAATCATAGACTACAAATACCTATAGCATCCATCCAATCGCATAGGTTATGGGACAACTTCAGGGACATTTCAAACAGCGAGTTTTCCATCTTCTGATCGTTTGCGACGCTGATTTTTCATGAAATAAAACTGTAAATCGAAAGATGTTGCTTCGAATTGCGTTTACTCGAAAGCACAGGTGTACATTTTACCTTTCTTTGTTCCAGGCGGTCGTCGTTGTCCGGTTTCGAAGCGCGCGCTAACCTCGCCGGCTGGATCACGTGATACCTCTCTCGTATCGACCGCTGCGTCAGCCACATTGCCGATTGGCTCGGCCGTGTCACGTGGCTCGTTGCGCGAGCCCAACTGTTTAGACTACCGTCTGCTGGCTGGTAGTGTCAGGCGCATTTGTCAACGCACGTCTCGACGGGAACAAAGGATTCGTGGAGACACCGGGGATTGTTCGTTCAAGGTGTTTTTGCTCCGGCGTTGATTTTTGCGCCTTCGTCGCCTCACGATATCGCCCACTTTGCTCTTTTATCAACTCGTTATCGATTATTGTCGCGAATTACTGTATACTGTGAAGTGTGTTCGACAAACGTCTCTTGACAGCTCGCCGTCACTCTGACGGCGTCGTCGGCGAATCGTCAATTGAATTTTCTTGCTCGTGTCGAAAACGGTGTCATCAGGATCGAGGGACAATAGTGCGCCAACGAAGAAGAGCTGTCGCGACGAGACATAACCGATTTATTTATTCTCGATTCTCGAAATCAATTCACCGAACGCGGAGTAGTCTCTTGAACCTTTGGCGGTTCTCTGTCTCTTTCTTCTCTCTCTCTCTCTTCCCTCAGACCAACCTTCGCATCAAAGACACAACTGCCAAGTATATACGTTCCTTTTGTTGCGCCGCGAAATTTTGAACAACAATCTGCTAACTGAGCGTCGTCTTCCTGTCAATCGTGTTCCGCGGCCTGTGGTGCACGGACACTTGGGACATGTACAGTATGAACTATATCGCTAAGATCATCAGCAATTTCCGTCTTTTCTACAACGAGATTAACGCCGCGACTCTCACCGGCGCGATCGACGTCATCGTCATTGAACAACCGGACGGTTCCTTTACTTGCTCGCCTTTTCATGTTCGCTTCGGCAAACTCGGCGTACTTCGCTCCAGAGCAAAAGTGGTGAGTCTCAAACATTTACTTTTTAATTTTACTTTTTAATTTTCTTAAGTGATTTTTAGTAATTGCTAAATCTTGTCTTAACTACCCAAAGATATTCTAGATCGGCATAAAATAAAAGTTTCCAATGTCTCTTTTTATATATTAATAAGTTTTCAATATTTTTTCATACATATACATGTTATTTATTTTTATTTATATCTTTGTTATGTATTGAATATAAAACATCTACTGTACATAAACATTTTGCGGATATTAAAGCAAATGAATAAATTTAGGTGGACATTGAAATAAATGGAGAACCTAGGGAGATTCATATGAAACTTGGAGATTCGGGAGAGGCCTTCTTTGTCGAAGAAGTCAGCTCGGATGGATCCCCAACGGACACAGAAATTCCGCCACATTTGGCTTGCTCACCTATACCCGATGATAATTGCTTTCCATCGGCAAAATTCCATCTTCTGTCAGATCTACCTCCGGAGCAGAGAGAAAAGATTCTTATAGATTCGGTTCTTTCTATAGAGCGTGAAAAATGGGAGCAGATGTCCGCCTTGCCACCGAATCAACGGGAAAAGTTTCTAATAGAGCAGTTCTCCGATCTTCCTGCGGAACATCGCGAGAAATGGCTTCAGATCGCTTCGCTAACCGTGGAAGAGCGTGATCAAATGTTTAAGGAATGTTTTGGCACTATATCCCCAGAACAGAAGCAGCAAATGATCAGGGAACAATATTCAGCTTTAAAGACAGAAGATAAGGAAAGTTTATTTAAGGAATATTTTCCGGAACTTTCTGTAGAGCAGAGACAAAGCTTTGAAAGAGCTCTGCTGAGTGATTGGGAGAAGAAAGAGGAGAAATGGGAAGAAAAGCATAATTCCAAGGATGAAAATGAAGACATATTTGACATGGATGGTATCAATGACGAACAACCAAAATCACTGTCTTGTCCAAAATCTTTTGTAGCTGTTACTTCGTCTGACAGAATTCGTAAGATTAGTGTAGTGAAGAATGATTTTAGACCCATCACTGATGATCCTCAAAGCAGTAGTAGTAAGGAAAAATCTAGCGACGAATCAAACACGTCTTTAAGTAAGAAAAATTCGAAGGAAGAAATCATTGAAGAGATAAAGATTACCAATTCGACTAAGAGAAAACGCAAGAGGAAGAGTGTTATGAAGAAAAAAGGTTCGCAGAGAAAAACCAGCAACGGCAGTAGCAGCCAAACAGAAGCAAGCGAGACTGATGCAATTTTCACTGAAGAATCAATTAGTGAAACAGTAAGTACATAATATTATTATTGTAATCAACATTTATCATTTTTATTTATTTATGACACGCTCGTATTTATCTTGAAGGGTCCCACTCCAATTGCAGAAGTTGAGAAGAAGAATACTATCGCAGAATCTGTGACATCATCTCAGGACATTGAAAATCGTCCCGAAACTGATTTTCATTTCTTTAGTGATTCAGAAATTACTAAGTAAGTTGTTTTTTGATATCGGACTAATAATTTTTGGAATATATCTTTGTATTTATTTATTAACTTGTTATGATGTGTACTTGAAAGGAACAAGGACTCCAGACCAAGTTCGCCTGTTCAATCAGACACGGAATTTGAAGTGCGCAAGATTATACAGGAAGGTGCTGAAATAGAAGACGACAAGAATCATCAAAGTTGGAGATGGGGCGAATTGCCCAGTCTATCTGTAGAATCGACGCATACTTTGCATAGAAATTCTTTGAGTTCTTCGGCAACAACCAATCAACCGAATAGTCAGTATATAATTTTAGTATTTTTGTTTAGTTTTGTAAAAAAAAATACAAATTTCTCTGTTCCCTGTTAACAGTATATTAAGGAAACTTGCCGATAGTTTATTTTTTTTTTTTTTTTTTTTTTTTCACAGATTAATAAGTGTCATATTGGTTCTCTCTGATATAGAGAGTCAATATATATATTGTAGGTGTGTGTATATACATATATACACAATAATATTTAACAAGATTCAATGTTGTAAATCTTTCCACAAAAAATATCTAACTTAGACGCTTGATCGCTAACTATTCGCAAATCGCTTTTTTAATGACAGAAGACGCGCAACGGTCTATGCTCAGTGGCATGTTCTCTTTTATGAAGAAGACTTCTCGCGTAAGACATAATCCAGAATCCGAAGGAATTTATCTTAGTGATCTTAATGCCGACGAATTGGATCCCGAAGTTGCAGCTTTATACTTTCCCTCTTCGCATCGAGGTCCGACAGTAGTCAAAGGTAGTATATAGTGAATTTGCTTTCGCTTTTGCATGTTGAATGGTTACAGTCAAAACTAACATATCATATTTTTCCTATATTTTTCCTATCTTTTGTATCATATTTACTATATTTTTCTTATCTTTTGTATCATATTTATAAAATTAAATTAAAATATTGTTTGTATAATAAAATATTTATTAACGTACAAGTGTGTGTTTCATATAATAAATCGTTTTATCTTGTGCGTTTTGAATCTTGTTAATAATAAAGTAAATAACAAAACTGTTTATTTGTAAATAAGGTTTCTATTTAAATTAATTATTTGTGTGACTTTGTGTTGCGCCATATATCTTATATATGTTTTATATCTTAAAAAGATATCTATCTGTTCTTTTCGCAGATAAGAAAACAACAGATGAAGAAGATACTGAATCAGGTAACGGGCCGAGCTTACCTCAGAGCCCCAACAGCGTTGAGGGAGCTATCGGTGGACCAAAGTCGTTGGACAGCGATTTCGAGGAACCAAAGCATTCTATTTTCGATAATAACGTAGAAATAAGCATGTCCTTGTGCGGTGGTCTGGACAGCGAGAACGGACCTTCTAAGGAAGCTTTCAACGAAAATTTGTTGCACTTTGAGGACGTTTGTACTGATCCAAAATTGTATGAGAATCCAAACCTGGTTGTCAAGATCAACGGAAAATACTATAATTGGGCTACAGCTTGTCCGATAGTATTAACTTACGTTGTTTTCCAAAGACATTTGCCACAAAGCGCAATCGAAAATCTATACATGCCGGTGCATGAAGACAAAAAGCAACAAATTACTAGCGGGAAACCTGAAAGTCGTGGCGGGTATAGTTCCTGGTTTTCGTGGAGACGTTCCACGCAACCTTCTAAGAAACCAGATAGTATCGATCAAAGTAAGATTTGTTCAAATTGTCGATTTAATATCTAACAAATATTTACTATACTTTTTATTTGCGTTATTTTAAATGCAAATATAATTATCTATATTGATTTTGAGGAATACGCACACATTACATCGAATCAATAATGAATTGCTGACTATTGATTTTATTACAGCTGATGGAATTGCTACGCAAACATCCGAGCAGCCTGTGGAAACTAAGACTGTTATTAATGAAGATGTACCTTCTGTTGATAGGTAAATCTTTTTTTAAATGCGTTTTTATATATATATATTCATCTTTTTTCATTTTTTTAAGTATATTACATCTTTACAGAGAGGTAAAGACTGAAGTAAACGCAGATTTACCAAATTCGACTGAAGCGATAGAAACCTGTACGAGATTAATAACCGCGCCCAATGAAAGCGCGTTTTCGAAAACTGAAAAAGCGCGAGAAGGAGAAGGTGAGGGATACAGCGGCGGTGAGGATTCCGACAGTAATCATAACGAACCAGCGGGTATAAAGATACCCATTGAAAGAAGACCGTATTATGAATCCACAGAGAAATATCGCAAGACTTTACGATTGACATCTGAGCAGATAGTAAGTAGTTTTTATACATTTTGCTTGAGAGTGTTTTGTTCAAGATAGAACAAAAACGATGAGTTTTAAATTATTTTACAGGCGAGCCTTGATTTGAAGGACGGTCCTAATGAAGTGGTCTTTAGCGTAACAACTGCTTATCAAGGTACAAAACGCTGCAAGTGCCACATCTACAAGTGGAAGTGGGACGACAAAATCGTTATCTCTGACATAGACGGCACTATTACGAAATCAGACGTTCTGGGTCACATATTGCCGATAGTGGGCAAAGACTGGGCACAATCGGGAGTCGCTCAATTGTTCACAAAAATAAAAAACAACGGTTATAAACTGCTGTATCTATCGGCAAGAGCGATCGGTCAAGCTGGAGGTACTAGGGAATATTTAAGGAACTTGAGACAGGGCGACTTGTCACTGCCGGAAGGACCGTTACTTTTGAATCCTACAAGTTTGATCTTGGCGCTTCATCGCGAAGTGATAGAAAAAAAGCCAGAGGAGTTTAAGATATCTTGTCTGAAAGATATTCAGGCCTTATTCCCCGAGGGATCTGAGCCGTTTTATGCTGGATACGGAAATCGAATTAATGTAAGAATAATTATTCGTATTTTGTTGAGTAATGAATTTAAAATATAAAATATAAATAAATAATCTATATGGTTCATTTATGTTTAGGATGTCTGGGCATATCGAGCAGTAGGCATTCCTATAATGCGAATCTTTACCATAAATTACCGAGGAGAATTGAAACACGAATTGACGCAAACATTCCAATCTTCGTAAGTATTGCATCACTACTTGTTTTACAAAAACAAAAGTTTGAACGAACTGTTTTGGTCTGTTTGTTTGTGTGAGCGTATAACAGCAAAATGAAGAATAAAGACGTATCTAAATCTTATCTCGCTCAAATAGCAATGTATACAATGCAATGGTAGCCTAAATTGCTATCTTTTTTTTCTTCTCACTGTTTTTTAACACACTGTCTGCTTTATAACATTAGTTTGTTAGTTTCTTTATACACAATATATTGTATACTTTTAGACACGCGTAGTATTTAATTAGTCTTGAAACCTAACTTTGGAGAAATCTTCTGTTAAATCTTCTGAATAATTTGTTATTAATCCGAATAATTCCTTTATATGCAGATAAAACATTATACAATACTTCGAGCGTGCTTGTATTTCTTACGTAACAGTGAATCTTATTTGCATGATTGCCGTAACTTCTCTTCAACTAACTTTTACATCCGAAGCTTATACTAATTATTATGATTTAGTTTTAGTTTTGTAACATTTAAAAAAAAATGTTTTATTAACAATTTAAATCTTCACAGTTTTTACTTAAGGCTTAAGCATTAGAGAATGAAGTTATTGGTTGAAAAAAATTTGCAAGTTTCTTCCAAACGATATTGATAGGTCGGATATTTCTGTGATTACAGTTATACGCGTCAGTGCAATATCGTCAATGACTTGTTCCCGCCACTACGACGTCAAACGTCTACTGATACCGGCACAACCGTAGCTTTAATCGGATAAAAAATAATTAAACAAAATGCAATAATAATAATTGAATATTATTTAATATAGCAATCGTATCCGGTACAACACATTGTTGCTTTATACATGAAACATTGCCATGTATAATGCAATCTTGTGCTCTTTGTCTCGATAACTGACATAGTACAAAACTAAAACGTCTGGTTTTATTTAGTATAAAGAAAAACACGCAAACAATATGATAAGAAATTTTCGCAAGAAAATTATAAAAACAAGTAATTTAGTGCTAATATATCGTAGTTTTTGGGATATATACATACATATATATGTATACATATTTGGTTGTGCAACAACTTCTGTCTTCTTTATGATTTATAGGGTAAGCACTTGTTTTGTATACAAAAGCACTTGGTTTGCTTTTCATCCGCTTGATACGCTTTAATTTTAACACTTATGTCATTGGGAACATACATCTTGTTACTATTTCAGGCAGCAGTGGAAAGGGGACGAAATATGAATGTAATTCATAACACTTTCAAAAACATTGTTATTTGAATGCACAAGCAAAGAGAATTTATATCTCTTGTATCAAAGTTATTTTATTTGCTTATCGTTCATAATTTTTCAACCAAACTTTACAATCGCTCCTGCGCAAATTGCGACTCATTTTCTTCTTTTTTTGTCTTTTTCTTTCTTGTTCTTATTTCAACTCTATAATAATATATATACATAGTATATATATATAACTTTATTTCATGCATTTGTGTTTCATTAATATAATCTTAGATGCACTGCTTTTTGTGATTTTTAACTTTTAATCTGACGTTTAAGGTGTATATACATGTAACAATATAATAATTTTATGTGATATTAAGAAATTCGAACTACAAAAGTGTCATTACATTTTTTTAAATTAATCATGCATTCGATTTGTTTTATATTGAACATAAGCAATGGACGCAAGTTAGACATTCATTTTTTAATCCTATTGACAGCACAAGGATATAATATTTGTAAATATTTATATATCTAATATTTGCTCTGCATTTCTTTTGTTTGTTTTTTCGTTACAGATATTCGAACATGAGCTTTATCGTTGACCAAGTATTTCCAGCGTGGCGTGAAGACGCAGCCGATGAGTTCAGCACTTTTGCGTATTGGCGGGATCCGATACCAGAAGTATCAAAACTCGAAGAGTTGTATGCTCAAGCTACCTAAATCTTACCACCTATCATAGTCATTTGTCCGTATTACGAACAATAATATTTATATATCTTATTTAGCTAACTTTTATACCCAGTGCGCGCACGCGTTGACTGCAGTGACTTTGACCGGTGTGATCATCCATATATAATTAAATCTCACAAAAATATGCAAGAGATTTTTTCAGAAGTTAGTCTTGTTGTTGCTCAGGTATTAGACAGTTATTAAACAGATTTACGTATAAGCAATGTCGATTACTTTTTCTTACATGCAATTTGTTAACTTATAAATGAAGGTATACATATAATGTATCTTAGTTTATAAGTTATTATTGCGCACACGTACAGACACATATACCATTTATATATAAAACATATACATATATAATTTGTTATGTGTCTTATATATAAATTATATGTAAAACTTAGATATACTGATAACATGATAACTTATAAAATAATAAGTTTTTATAGTTTCTATATCATTTATATGTGTGTGAACAAGTTAATAGGTGATTTGCAAAGAGTAAACTTTTACGTCGAGTAAGCGCCCACACATTCCAACTTCGTTACATTTAGATAAAATACCATCTTTACATTAAACAATGTCAAACACATGTCTGTCAGATTTATTCACACCAGTCAATGTACATAGCGTGACTAATGTAACTAGATACAATATAAGTATATGCTTCACACGTAATTAAAGCGAGTCTTGTACTTGATAAAGTAAGCAAAGCTCTCTTAAATGACAGTTCTATTGTCGAATCGTTGTAAAACACATGTTTTGGAAAATTAACATAGCCGAAAGAAATGTCTTACACATAGCGCGAATTGTGTCTAATATATTCATGACACAACATGTACACGTCGTATTAGAAAGCCTCGCTTGTTATTGCACACATGTAAGTTTTATACAAGCACCTAATTGTCTCTCTACTATATGTGTCGGCAATTTTCTACACTGAACTTGAAACTTTGCTTAACAAGTGGTAATAGATTATCGTTGTGTAAGACACAAGATAAGAAAGTCGATATAGTCGATATACCGATCGCTTACGTTCCCTTATTTTTTAGACATTTATAATTTCAGAGAGCTATAATTTATTTTTGTATGAGATCTCTTTTAAGTTAGCGTGCTGTGAAATTGCCATATCCCAAAAATGATGTTGATCATTTAAATTGTATAATATGTAAGGATTATGTTAGGTGATGCGTGCGGATAGGAGTTTTGTTTTCAGCCAGCGCACACATAAATTATCGTATATAAAATAGAGCTATGTATTCCATAGATCGTGATGTAGGAGTTTTTTTTTTTTTTTTTTTTTTTTTTTTTTTTTTTTTTTTCTTTTATTGTCCTATTTTCATTTACGTGTATGTAATGCATTCTACCAGATTTCAGTCTTTCATATGTTGTCTAAAGTACGTTGTTTGAAATGCGTAAATTAAATTATTCTTATATTTTAGAAGAGTAATTTACTGTGTGAAAAAGTGAACTCGACAAGTCACGGCTCGTGCTTATCAAGTCATGCAGTTGAAGCAATAAAGGTACAACTACATCTGACCAAAGAGAATAGATATTCAAAAGTTTATATGTGTTATCTGTGTTAATAACATATTTATTATGCAACAGACAGGATAGGAAGATTACCAAACGCGATATGTGTATCCTTAAAAACATCCTTATTTAAGCATATGTGATACAGAGTGACAAATTTACGAAAGAATCTTAGATTCTACATTATTAATTTAGAACGATTTTTAATTAACATTAATTATTATCATTTTGTAATGTTATATGTATATATGTACAAGATGCACGACGTCACACTGTGAATTTGTAATTATTTAATATTTAATTTGTAGAATTACTTTATTCGTTTTTTTGTTAAAACTATTCTTAGTACAAATAAATTTATAGACAATGTCTGTTTACAATTTCTTTTGTTTATATAATTTATGTATTTCTCTTTATCATGATACAACTATTGCTTATTAATAGACATTTTAGTTTGGTGAAAACCTTGAAAAATTTCGAAGTAATTATATAAAAATATAATAAAAAAGAAATTTATATATTATATCTTTCGAACTGCTAGACATATGTGTGTGATCTCTCTACTACAAATAAATATATATAATTGAAGTTTTTATAAGTAAAACAATATTTTAGAACACAGATATGTAATAAAATTTATATTATGTTTAATATATAATTTGTGTCATATACATGACATAGGACGATCTAATAACACATATTTCATATCAGTAACAGCAAGAGAGTGTGATAAGATATCATCAATTATGTTTTTCTTGAATTCAGTTTATTTAATCTTATTTTGACATTATAAATATATCGAACGCCAGCTTCTATGTGGAATAAGTGTATCTCCTGTAGTCTTTCAAATCATTAACAATAAAGATCAACAAGTAGACCTTGATCATGAATGTGATTAATCTTAAGTTGATTTTTATATAATTATTTTTTTATGGACGTTGTACTCGGCCACCGAGTTTTAATCTTAAAAATATATATACCACATTAGACATATGCAGCGTAAACGGATATTATTTTACAAGAAAATAGATTGTTTTTGGAATTTTTTTTCAAAACTAGTAAAGTCCAAGCTAGTTCCTCTTATTATATGTATACCTCATATTTTAATTTTTGCATATATTTTCTTCTACCTTCATTATCTGAGTGTCCTAAAGATTCAATGGAAGATGTACTTTGCTTCGTATCAGAACTAAAATCGATTACTATTTTAGGTACATTATTATTCTGAACACCATCTTGATCTTTAGATATACTTCCAGACCAACAATACATGGCCTATTAGAACATATTAACACGAAATAGAAGAGTTAACATAAACACAAATAACTTAATAAATCGAACTTAATAAAATTATTTAAAATCTTAAAAGTAGTGTTGTGTTACTCACTAATAATATACAAATCATCCAAAATATAGTTATAAGTATTGTTTGCATACTTTAATTTTAATTATAATGAATGTTTTAAAAAGATATATTTGTAACACAAAAACTTTTTGACATGTTTACCAAATTATAAATTATTCGACATTCATTTTTTTTTTTTTTTTTTTTTTTTTTTTTTTTAGATATAAGTGATAATTTTTTCATATAAACTTTTATAATGAAAGTTTCACATTCACATTTTTAATGAAATTTATATAAAAGTAACTTAGTACATGTATTGAGATAAATGACAGTTGGTTTATTGATAATAATCAAGTATATTCATGTAAAAAGTCATTTATTTAAAACTATAATGTACATTTCATGTATCATTATTTTCTACATCCATTTCTTCTTCATCATTTTGTTTTGTGTTATCAGATTCTACAAGTTTTTTAAATCCATATTTTTTTGTATATACTCCCAAAACTAACAGCTTAAACACTCCTAGTTGTATGTCTAATAGTTTCTGTAAAATATATACTGGTTAGTATATTAAACAATTTTCATTGATTATATTTAAAACACATAGAATACATACCAAAATTTGTGCCTGTTCTGGAGTAAGTACATCGCCCTTTCGACAAACTGTAAATGGTTTTGTCAAAGTAATAACACCCTTTTCCAATGATGTAGGCATACCAAGTTTTCTCAACTGTGGTTCCATAGTATGTTGAAATTGCTGCAAAGATCCATCTAATTCTACTGTTTCAGGTGATATAAATCCAGCACGTGCATATTCTAAATCTTCGTATTCCTTTGCCCATTTTATCACCTGTATATAAGTACGCATTAATACATACATAGAACATATATGTATATGTTATTGCAAGATGCAAAGTTAAATTAATATAAATGTTTTTACCTGTGAGTTTGGTCTGTTAGTAAATAACAAACCACATTGACCTTTTGATGTGTAATTTCTCAATGCATTAGCTAATTTATGTATGCCATCTGCAACTTCAGTTTCTTTTGAACATCCTAAGCCCAATGCGATTATTCTGAGTTTACCAAATACAAGTTTACTGTCTTTCCATTCGGAGCGCAACTGAAGAAGCTTAGTGTTTCGTGTATTTTGCACAGATATAAGAAACACACGTCTGTATTCGTATACGCATTTTTTAACATCTTCTATAACTTGTTGTTTCAAAGCCAAACCCTTTTTATTTGTTCGAGTGAGAGATACTAGATAAAAAAACATATGTTAGCTGCATATCGTTGTTGCTTATCATAAAAAATGTTGCTAATAACAGAACAAAATAAAATATTTATACATTGTATAGCAACAAAACATTTTTTCTAGATTTAATTATTGAACGAGGTACTATTTTAAGATGATGATTTTAACGATTAGACTATATATTATTTAAATTATTGTAAAAAATATGTAAGATTACTTACTCTTCTTATCTCTCTTTGATCTTGGCATTTTTGAAGCTAGATTTTTTCACAAAATACAAGTATAACAGATATTGCTTTATAGGTTGGTAGACACAAGAAGCAACACTTGAGAAGACCACATGGTTTTTAGGGCCGTTGCACGTGAATAAATTTTAACCGTGTAACCGTAAACTCGTAAGCAGTTCAACCAATTAGAGACCAGTATTATCTTACTATTAACTGGAATGCTGACCAGCGATTGGTTCGATTTGCTTACGACCTTACGAATACATCTAAACTTTCGCCACGTGTTTATTAAAGCACGCGTGCAAAAGTGCAGCACTGAACACAAGAAAGAACAAGAAAAGCAATGCCGCACTTTGTTGCACGCTCTGCACTGTTCTTTTCTCCTTTTCTGACGCACTTCCGTCACTAAATACGGTAAGTTTAAAATAAATGCTTGAGAGAGGGCACCACACGAATTGTGAACTAAACTAGAAATACGTAAAAGTAATCCAGTTTTATTTAAATCTTACAAGTATAAGTTTAAAGTTTATTTCTAAAAGTTTATTTTTTTTCAAAACATGGTTAAGTGTCACACTTGAGATATAATCTTTCTCTCACCGATTTTATAATATAAAATCTTTATTATACATCGTACACATTTATTTGAAAATATAACTAATTAATATTCTCTAATTTATATGTTAAAAAATTTGGGTTTTTAATTGCAGAATTAATATGCGTCGCGCAAATTATCCCCGAGTAATCGAGCGATTCAAATAAGCGCGGGGCGGCGCGCCGGAAGCGGGCGTGCGCGCGCCGGGCAAGATGGTGGTTTCCGCTAGTCGCGCCAGTGCATTCAGCGAGAGCGTAGTGAACGGTAGCCGTTGAACACATCGAAAGCTCAATTTCTTTAGGCCGTTTACAGCGCTTTAGGTGAGTCTTTCTTGTTCCTTAACCGCGTTTTTTCCATATGTCTGTTGTCGCGACGATGCCGCGTGCCATAACTTCGGCGAATTAGATGACGTGCGCCGTAAACGCAGTCCGTGTGAACCCCGTAGCCATGCAGTACGACGACATCGGCGGGGTTACCTAGTCGGAAATTTTGCCGGCGATAATTTGTGTCGCGAATTTTTCCGTCTTTTGCTACAACTCCGTTTGATGAAATTGTGTTGATTTCTAGAGCGTGTAAAACATGACAATTTGTGATTTGGATAAAATGCGGACGAGATATCCGTGCGAAACGTTTGTTCTCTAGGCTACATCGCGCGATCAACGATCTGAAGGCAGCTGCTTGCCGCACCGATGACGCACGAGACGCGCGTGAGGGCGAGAGAGAGAGACGGAAAGAGAGTGAGAGAGAGAAAGAGAGAGAGAGAGAGAGAGATAGAAAGAGAGAGAAAGAGGAGTTGCCCGTCGGCAACCGCCATGTTGCTTCGCAGCCGGCGACAAAATTCCTCGCACGTTGCGAGGGGCTTTTATCTCGAGAAAAGGATATCTCACAAAGATATACATATATATGGTATAATTTGATGGTTATCAATCGCGGACGTCATGTCCGGCGCGGTTAAAAGATGACAGTGCGAAAAAAAATTTACGCGACTTACTCATCTGACCATTCACACATCGATTTTCTCTCTCTCTCTTTCTTCCGCTCTTTTTCCCCTTCTCTCTTCTTTCTTCCTTCCTTCCTTCCTTCCTTCATTATCTTTCTCGGTTCTTTTAATCCTTATTTACAGAACGCTCGTTGTAAGAGTTATTATTTGCTTTGTCTTACATACGTTTAAAAATGTTCCCGGTAATTTTTTCTCAAAGCACGAGGTGTTAATTGCGTGTCAAAAGTAGGTAACTAAACGTTAAATAAAAACGCGTTGTGTGTGTAAAAACAATTTTATATGAAATAAGAATATTTCATAGTAGCGGTTTGTTATATCGTTTATTCACAATAATTGTACGATTTGTGTCGGGAATAGTTTTTGCATAATGGTATACAATTGACCACCTTTGCCTTGTGCGCAGTTTGCATGTGTATTAGCGCGTTAAACGTGAAAAAGTCGGAATATTGTGTATGAAAATAGTAGACAATCCTTGTGCGTAAGATTACATCCTTAAAGTAACACAATATACTCATCTTTTCAAAGTAACAGGAAACAAACGTGTGCGGTGAACATTTTTAAACTGGTAATTTAACAAGATAATATGCTATCGTTATCTATCGCTTTGCTAATTTGCGATGTGTGTATCATACACTTTTTTTTTTTCTTATATCAAGATAATGAGACTTTAATAACGAACAAGCGCACGCGCGCAAAATCGTTTCTCGATAATATCAAATACCCCCTGATACACAGTTCATCGCTGATTGGATAAAATAATTTTTTTTTCGTAACTTTTCCTACCAGAGCCAATTCGCGGTAATTTAAGCTGTTTAATGAACGATATTATCAGTTTATCTGTCTCAGCCAAAGTTCTCGCCCACCTTGTCTCGAGGTCATCGAACAGCCGACGACGTTCCTTTTCGTCAAGGCTGACACTCTCCTTCTCTCCTTATCCCTTTGCCGTTGTATCGAGGGGATATAATACTACGTATTTGCGTAACAAGCGAAGGCCTCTTCTACGTTCTCGGGAGGCCATCGCGCGTTCGTCACTTTTGCGAACACTCGCGATCGCTCGCGACTATCACACCATTCATCCGTTGACGGTTTTACTGACCGCCTGTAACCTTTTTACGCACGCAAGGGGATAGAGTACACCGGTTGTGTATTATATACAGGATGTCGAAAAACAATTGTAAGGTATTACAAATCGATCTGAAAACGGAGCAACCCTCCTATTCGAGTACAGATATCTATATATTTTTTTTCTATCAATTTAAAAAATATATACACACGTTGCTGCTATGATAGTAAAATTTTGTGACACTGAACGTTTTTTGAAATTAATGGGAAACATTGAAGAAATTGTTAAAAGAGATTGTTCGGAATCTTTTAACGTAAGATCTTATCAGAACTGTTGCAAACTTATTTTCAAAAATTTTATATGTGCGTATAAACTGCATTAACTACAAAAATGTCAAATTTGTATACGTTATAATTTATAATATATCTAAAATCAATACTCTGAATTTTAACACATACTGATGCTGTATTGTTGTTTAATGTGATTCGCTATTGCGAGATACATAGGTACGTACATGCATCTACCTACATGTATCGCGAGTTGCAACAATTATGATATCCATCACACTGCGTTCCCTGTAATCGGGATTATTAATTTAATCAAAACACGCTTTAGCGCGCGGTAATGACTAGTTTGATATATTATTTACCAGTAATAACGGACATCACAAAAGGTGTTTTGAAGTTTCAATTAGTAAACAACTCATTGAGTTTGTTACAATACACACATAGACACACAAGTAGAATACAAAAAGCTTAGTAGTTTTTTTTTTTTTTTATTTACAAAATCTATTCGAACATGTTTTAGCAATTTTATCACACACGTCTCTTCGAACTGATTTGCTGAATTTTACATCGTGTTTTTGTGCTCGCGTTAATCAGCTTTGATTTCGAAATAAAACGCGTTGAAATCCGACGGTGTTTCGCCGTAATGTGCCGCTTGTCGATCCGTCTCGTCGGTGTTTATTTGATCGCTCGTCAATTTTGCAGATGATATCGCCTCGAATCACAATCGATTAAACGCGTTAGTAATTTTCCTCCTAGCTCGTAAAATTGTGTCTATACGTTCTTTCGAGTGAACTCCGCGAACTTCAATTACAACAGATATCTCGCGCTTCTAATTTTGTCGAAAGCAGCAACAAAACGTCTGGCGTGCGATCAATCTGCATCGATGCTTTTAGCGGTATGAACGCAATCGCGGCGATTCTCTTTCGAGCGCATAATTTCCTTTACCAGACATTTATGTGTGTGTATGCGTGTATGTGCGCGCGCGCGCGGTTATTTTGATCGTTTATATTTACAAAATTCCGTGGGAGTGTTTTTTTTCTGAATTGCGTTTGAAAACTCGCCGTTAAAGCGCACGTTTTAACAATCGCCGCGTTGCGTTTGACGTTTAATAATCGACATAAAAATTCATTTTCGATTTGAATAACGATCGACGTTTCTTTGTTTTTTTATTGTTTACAAAAGCACGCAGTCAAACATTTTGACGTCCGCATAAAGTGTGTTACTGAAGTTTGCCATTATCGCGAATTTTGCTGAAATTTAATTGCGCGCGAACACGGGAGAATAGAGGCAATCAGAGTTTTTTCTTTCCCCCGTTTGCACAGAAACATTTCGAGATGGTTGACGGTGGCGCGCTAATGGATCTGAAAATCGCGTTTCTGCGCGGTCGTTCGTAATGATTATTCCATCTGCGGGTGGAATTTGACTTGACGCGAGCTCATTTCCTGCTTGGAAAGCGACGTTCGTGATCGGAATCGCGTCGGGCCCCATTCAAGAAAGTCGCATTCATTCGAACGCGCGTGTCCCGCGAACGGAATACAATTCTGGCCCATCTACCTATACATACACCTCCATCCTAAATACGATTCTCGGTGATGAAACAAGTTCTGGTACAGAAACAAGATAAACACACACGCGCGCGCGCGGTGACGTTTAAATCATTTCCGGAACAATCTGCAAAACAATCGAACGAAATTTAATTTTCTCGGTTCGTCTGGCTAGCGTTTGCGATTTAAGAGCAATATCTCGATTGTCTGAAATAGAGCGTGTGTTATGACACGAGATTCTCGGTACGTATATCGTCTCATTTAATATTTCGTTATCGCGAATATTGCACGAATAGCAGAGTCGTGCTCGAACACAGATACGTTGAAGATATCGAAAAGCGAGATTCAATCGGACCGAGGAATTCGCCGATTGAAAAACTCGGTGTCGCTCGCAGCTATTGCCGATGCAACTCCGCAATTGCGTTTGCATGAATGCGTTTGTCGAGTCGCTCTTCGCGGGAGTGGCGTTAATTATCGCGCATCAATTAGTACCGCATTTCGAGCGAGCTCTCTGTCATTAACGCGTGTCTCTTCCCGCTGCGGGAGACGGAAACATCGAAACTGTTTCGAATCGCGAAACGCAGCTTGCTGCCTCGAGTTCACGTTGCTTTTAGCCTACGGGAAACTCACTCGAATTAACGTGATGACAGAATACTCAAGATCCCGACGAGCACTTTGAGGATGATTTTAAC